TGCCCTGTATATTAATTCAGTTAGAAGTCTAACACTAATTATCGTTGGCCGTTTAATATTCCTAAATTGCATTCACGTGTCTTCATGGTCTGGGTTCATTAAACATTGTCACGCAAAGTTTCGTTTACCGGATAATTCTGAAACAAAGAGGAATATATTATTATCGCTATCAATCTTATTGTTTGATTCCACGAAGCCAATCGATCTCCGTTGGGAATTTGGAATAATTTTTTGCACGCTTTGTTCTTGTTAGCCTGAATTTTAAATACGACCAATACATTCGATTAAATAATTTTAAATAAATTTCTATAATAGATACGACTCTATTTAAATTTTACTATACGTTTGATAATTCTTAGTCTGCAAATGATATTTATAAAAATTCTCGGTAATCATCATTAAATATTTAAAACATTCCAACATAAAGAAACAGAAATTAAAATAGGCAACGAACCGCAGATTTTCTCTCGACGCTGGCAAAATCGAAGGCGCAATGATTGGGTCGTTTCGGTGAACTTGCTGCAATTAGACTTGCAGATGGCCCAGTCAGAGTATTTCGCCGTCAGATCAATCTTCTTTCACTACACGGTGCAGAGCCGTTTCCACTATCCCCGTGCTATTTCGAAGTCCTCTGACTCAGTTAGATCAGGCAATATTCCTTCAGACGGGATTAAGCGAGAAGATAATACTTCAAATGTCAATTGCTACTCTATATTTGCCTTCATCGATCCATCGGATTACCACGATTTATACGTTTTATACTATTTTAAAAGTATTCTAAAAATCTAATGAATTAATTTAAAAATATTCAAATAGACTGCGTGCCTCTAAAATGAATAATTTATCTATTATAAAATTTATTTTTATATTTTCGAGTACTTATTCCACAGTAAATGTAACTTTAAAATGAATTATACAAAAGTTACCGGAAAATACTTCCATGAATATTGTATTAAAATCAGTAATATAGTTTCAGAGATAATAAATTGTAAAGTCCATGCAGGCGAAACTGAGTGGAAAAACAAATTAAATATATTATCATGTTTCATACTATTTTTAAATGAATTTTTATCTCTCATTAAACTATCCATGTTCGTGGAAGGTTCTTGAAGACTTCAAAACAATATGTTGCAAATACAATCAGCGCTCAAAATAATTACAGGTTTGTTTGCAAAAATTCTGACAGAACAATATATTAGTAAATACAATATTCCATTTCATCTGTTATAAATTATACACTGCAAATATTTAATAAATAAAGTATTTAGTAATAATATCACCGTATCTAATACACGATTTTTTATCTGTTTGATATTTTCAACTCGTATTTCCTTATCATCCAAGAACGAAATTATTTAATTATAATTATCTACAAAGTCGTAAAATTTTATTCACAGAACATAAATAAGTATTTTGATTTATCTTCTAACCGAATTTATAGAGTTTTATAGTGATGGACAAGTATTAAAGTAAATTAACAGAATCGTCTGATTGTTTTGACGATTAGCAGTGTTTGTAGTTGTTTTGCAAAAGCTACAGCAACGACTTGTACGCCTAATCGTACCGGCTCGCCGAACAATGATCGATGGTTGTTGTTGCAACAGTTTGCCTCGCCCACAGCGAAAACAAATGACCTAATTGATTCTCCAAAGGTTGACCCATACGATAAAACGGCAGCACTGATATGGCGCACATGGTTACGCATAGAGGCATTTCATTAAGATCAAAGGATTTCGTCGGATAAAGTTGTTTTCAGGAATTTGCATCTTGTCTTCTCCGCGCGTTGGATTTTGAATTGAATTACCATATTAAGTGTTTATGTCTACAAGAACGATACGTATTACGAAATGTTTGCCATTATTGTGTGTATAAGATTCAGTTTTATCGTTACAATTGATGTAATTTATAACAAATATTATTAGTATCGAAGAAAAAATAACAGCAAATGAAAATCTATTTTCCTTTAAGTACTCAAATAGTCTGAAAAATGAAGGATTTCTGGTCTTATAATGCCAATAAAAATTGTGACTTCATAAAACAAAATTTTCTTATTAGTCTGTGCACGTTTTCTGCTTATCCCCTATTCAATTATTTTTTGTTTCAATATTTTTACATCTCAATGAATATTTTTTAAACGATTTCTAGTTTAATTTCTTTTTCTAGAGAACTGTTTATATTTTAGGCAATTTTATGTTCAGCGTATCTTTTTTTTAAATTTTTTATTCAATCCTTTGTATAAAATTTTAGTACTAAGAAAATTATATTATAGAACAGTGCGGACAAGACCGAGCTAAGACACTTTGTACTTCGGTTGTAATGACCCAAGTTTAATTTAATGAACCATTAACGAAATTAGCTGGTTGTCATCCAAAAGGAAAGCTTGAGTGCTCATTGGATACACGCCATGTACTCATACGTATAATTAGAACTTCATCGAGCGAATCACCCAATAATTACGTTCATTTCTTGGTGAACTTTCTGTGAGAAACTTTTTAAGCCATGTATTGTGATCATGCATCTAATAATAATCTCTGAGAAGATGCTGTATTTTTAAACTCTTCTTCGCCCCACTATAAAAACATTTATCAATAAATTATGCCTTCGTAAATTCTTAATGTCAACATCACGCTTCTAAAACGCTTTAAAAATAGAAACAAAAACTGAAATTTATCATTTTCAGTTCGAGTAAGAAATTACTTAAATTTCAATAAAGCATAAAATATTATATAAACAAAAAGAGGGACGATGATTTTTCAGCAAATAAAGTAAGCAGCTTCCATGTAAGCTGATTTTTCTTCATTGTATCATTTATTAACAAGGAAACAGTAATTAAAATCTGTACAAAACACGTATTTAAATGCTACAAACTACCTCGAATTTCTTCGATCGAGATTTCATATTGCCATTGGTGATGTTACAGTGCAAAGTTAATGCATTTGCATCGGACCCTGCTGTTCTCAAGTTGGATTCACGTTGCACGAAAGTTTCAACTGACATACATATAGTAGCCTAACGAAAAATGTGAATCCAGCTTTCAACGTATTAAGAATAATTACAGATCTACGGTTAACATTCTGAAATTATCAGTGTTTTAAATAAATAGCTCAATAAATAACAACCACAACAATTTTCAATGAATCTGTAAAAAGTTTTAAAAATCTCAAAAAACAAATGTATAAAGTATAATAAAGTAAAGTATATGTATGAGTAACGTCCTCTAAAAATAAGTAATTCATTATTATAAAATATAGCAACAGCTTTAAAATACAAGTTCCGGGTGTCTTTATTTATAAATAATAAATCACCGGTCACAGACATTTGTAGAATATTTCTAGAGACTTATATAGATACGCAGTTTTGTTATACGTAATTATATAACAAAAATAACACGTGTTCTATAAATGTGCGTTATAAAATACGAAGCCCTTTGTGCTTGGATTCATCCTCATATATTTCATTTGAAATAGTCTCCTGTGCAACTCTTAAATTTTTTAAACGTTGCATTTCCTGGGACCTATGTCTGACTTTTGGTTGATTGGTTCTACTGATTGCATCATAAATACATATTTAGGCTGTCGACTGTTTCATTTTTCCTCGATATAAATTTTCCAAATTAAAATACCTCTGCAATGCTACTTTTCACGAAAATTATATGTTTCTCACTTAAAGATTCCTAATCTAGTTAATATATTCATTTACCCTATTTACATAGGGTATCGTATTATTAAAAATGTTTATACTTGCTGTAAGTGTCGACTGTCTTCAAACAAGATATGTTCACTATAAGCCTAGCAATTTGTAGCGGGTAGTAATTATATTTATTAATTGACAGAGCAAAAACAAATTCACTTAGCACAAGTATAAGATGAGTACAAATATAAAATAAATGTAAACTCAGTAGCAGGTACGTACGACGAGTATAAATTATTTTCTAAACTATAGATCAATATTTCTATACTTCGACTTTGAATAATTGTGCAAACTGATTTGTACACAATTCCCGATGCAATTGTTTTTTAATAATTTGTTCGACACAAATGTGAATACGTCAAACATAATATTAATGGCACAACATTACCAACTGTGTTTATTTAAATAAACACGTAACAGCCCCTTTTAGAATAAATTTAACGTCATGTAATGAGACATGTAATTCAAGTGAAATTACATTCGTGTTTACGACATGTATTAAATTTGATTCTGATTTTTGTTTCTTTAAAATATACAGTGAATCATAAAGGTAGACGTATTGCATTGTTTGTAAAATTTAAGAGATTATTTTTTTTAAAATAAATCTTATGTGATCCTTATTAATAAATTTAATATATACTATCGTAATTCGTATTTTCGAAAAATACCAATTCAATACAATACAAATATAATATAAAAGTGAAATATACCAGGCAATTAGTTTACAATAAACTATATCATTTGATAAGTGTAACTGGATCTAGAAATAGCATAACAAAATATGGCTATATTCATTATATTCAGTATCCATTGTACGGAAGCTGTCTTTTTTTTATATTTTATCAACCATCTAAAGTTAGAAATTTAAGGACTACGAATACTTATGATCCACTGTAACCCATAGGCCATAAAAATTATTTAGAAAACAGTTACCACGTGGTGACTAATAGAACATTCTTTTTATATAAATAAAGTTAACTTCGAGACCTTATTTAATAATTTCATCGGCGACACAATCGTTCTTGCCATAGAACTCTCTTTTTCGAAGTGAATTAATATGATACGAATAATTTTTTCTACATCATTAAACCTTGACAATCGCATCAGTTATTTTCGAACATGCTGTCTCGCTGCTCGTGGATAGTGAGCCTACTCAAAGAATTCAATTCTGGCGACAGTTCCGGCACTCGTTACCAGAGGGTTACGCTCTCAACGCTTCTCTCACAAGTGCTCGAGTAACCACCTATTTTTATATATACACTCCTCGACTGACCATTAAATGTCCAAGGCAGGGCCTTTCCTTCCCCTATCTCAGTTTTTCCTACAACAGCCACAAATTATACCTAATAATTAAAACAATCGAGCACCCCGCATGACTAGTATAAAAACCTTAAACTCGAAAGGAAATCGTGTATAACAATACGGGAACAATACCGTCGATATTTTATAAATAACAATCGACGTAGACTTTCTCACACACTCTTTGGAAAAGTATTTGCATCTATACAATTTATATCCACCCAACAACAAAAGCACCAACTACTGTCAATTTCGAGTTTCTAGCACCTTTCAATGTTCTCCCATGGATCAGGATACGATCTAAATTTCTCTGCGTCACTATAATCGACACAGGTGACGATTTTTTCATCATTCAGAATCACTAAACTATGAACATCCACAAAGTATTAGGTTCCAGTCATCGTTAAGTCTTTCGTCACAAGCATCCAGGTAACCTTTAAGGATTGAAGTCCGAGTTAAAAACATTAGAGTCTTATTATTAAATATGCGAAAGCATATTGTAAACGTCGACACTAGTCGCTATCACTTTCGTAAAAAGTGTCAGGCGTTAACGAGGCCTCCTGCTATTCTTCGTCCACTATTTCACAGCTGTGGTACTTGCTGGAGGAGTCCAGCCAGCTTTCGACGCCACTGGAAGCCAAATCGTCGCAAGAGGGCATTTCCGGTAGAGGTTCCATGTTCGGTGCTCCTTTCTTTGACAGATTGTTCACTGGACGGTCCTTCAAATTCGTGGACACTGTAGCAAAGATTAATCGAGAAGATTAGTTTGGACATCTCTACATCGACTCAGTTTCGTTTAATTTTTTTTTTAACGACTTTATTACATGGTATATAAGAAGAAGAAAATATATAAATTGCACTAATAATATATACACTGAATAAGTTTAACTTAAAAACTAAAAAAATGATATTGCTGTCATGGAATTGCGAGACTATATTAATGTAGAAATTAAATTGAGAATGAAAGTTTTAAGAATTATTTTACACGAGCATACATTTAAAAAAATTATTAGTAGCTTTGCTGAATAGAATTATTTATATTACCATTGTCAGAGGACAAGGAGGACTCTTTTCTACGAATCAGTGCTTGTCTGGATGTCCTCGGACTCCTGTATTCGCCGCTTATACTTAATCCTGCGCTAATGGTGGGAAGTCTGATATCAAGATGCGATCCTTTGTCTGTAACAATCTGACCAAACATCAAATAAGACCAAATTTTGTAATCTAAAATATTTTCAGATTTAAAAGAATAAAGTAATTCTTAACGTTTTCTCCTAAATTACACTGGCAATTGTCGATGGAGAAGTTTTGTCGAGAGTATTAAATACTTCCATGCAACATGTTTATTTTGAATAGTCCTTACCTTATTATTCATAGCATACAATTTGGTGGCTATGTCCCTCGCGACCAGTGTCGTTAAAACTGTAGCAAGATATGCCTCCTTGACAAGAAGATACTCCAATGCAGTTCTCTGCCAATACAAATATCTGCATGAGCTTGCCGCAACAATCGATACCTGAAACAAACATAAATTACAGAAATATATTTAATAATACGCTTGGAAACATGTTTAAAAAATTACTAACATAAAGAGAATGTAGAACTGTTCGTTACAAATATGCGGAAGTTAATAAAATTTGTGAAATATTAAATTGAGAACAATTTTCTTTGTTAGAGAAAGAAGGACTAAATGAAAGTTGCTATATTGAAAATGTAAAAATAATGTTGAGTGCCTAACAATTTCAAAAATTGTTCAAAACAATTTTTCAAATTATAAAAATCGAGTGGAAGATAATTGAAAAATAATAAATATTATTGATATTGAGGTCCCATTGTACACTATATGGAAATTTACTGTCTGAAACTGAAAAGTTGGCACTTGGATTGTCATAAGAGCAACAGAGTTTGAAGTCCTTCTGAAACCTTCATCTTTAGATACTTGTACATCACTCTGTTCGACTAATAAGAAGAACACGTGTTTATATCGAGATCAATCAAATTGACAATTTTTTCAGGTACCACCATTTCAGCTGTACACAGTACATGACTCTGCCAATGTGGCCTGGAAAATTGGTATTTAAGATTTAGATTCATACAGATAAATTGTGATGTAACTTTCAAACCCAGTTGTTAATAAACTTTGTCAATATTCCAAAATTCAACAAACGCAAGTGGTCATGTACTTACTTTAAATTTATCGTCGACGGAGGCTCTAGAACTTTCGAATTCTGGCGAGTCCAAAAACTCACAGGGCAGTATAGGATGCAAAAAATTGGAATCGCTGAGAACGTTCACCTTGCCGCTGAGCAACAATCCCAATCTGTCGGTTCGAGTCAAGTTTTGCATTGCATATGCCTCGCCAGCATGTAGTGACATTATCGAAGCAAATTCCGGGGACACCAGTCTTTTAAATTGCAATCGGGACACCTATTTTATCAACAGAAAAAGTAAATAATATTATCTACATCTCAGCGTAAATTAAAGGCTCAGAATTATCATAACAATTTTATTCGTTTATTTTTTTTGTTTATATTCTTGTATGTACAAAATATTTCCACTATTTTTATATGTTTACGTGCTTAATTTTGTGCGAACTGTTTAGAGGGATACGCTTGGAGGCTCCAATATGAGATATCCGCCAGATGAAGTCTTTGGTCTGCTGATTCGTGTTCGGGGTTCTTCTCAGTGTTGCTTGTTTGATTTTTTGACTCAATCTGCTTTCTGGACCAAGGTCGCCCAAAGAGCTAACCTCGCCATGGACGTTCCCAAGACCATGGGAGGAAGTATCAGTCGCTGATTGGTCTTGCATTACTAATACGCCGGCCAATCATTTTGGCGGCGAAGTTGGTCGGTGGGAGGCAGTATGTAACGGTGATTTTTAATCATTTTTGCGGGCCCGGATTTTCCCGTGAAGAGGCTACGGGCCCAGGTCATCGCTTGGTGCCCAGATATTTCGCGCGGTACCTGAGTCTGGTCATAAAACATCTGGCACCGGTCATCGATGTTATTGCAGGTAGTAAAGTCATAGAGCGACTGGATTTGGAGGGCCATGCAGATTTGAAGTGAACTTACTAATTAAATAGCCGCCTTAGGGGCACTAGGTTATAAGCAAAAACCTTGATTGTTTATGAAAGGTGTGACTCTATATCCGCTGGCTTTATGAATTTACTGTTACGCTGCAACAGCATATATTTTGAAGCATGTTTAAAAATTTTGCAATACAGTAAAATGTATCAACGAGATAAATGTTACCGTAAATACAAAAGAAAACTATAACATCCTTACAAATCTTTAGATAACTTTGCGGATTAAAGACACGAGAAGAGATTTTTATTATAATATAAAAACATTACAAACCAAATTATCAACATAAATTGATTACAGTTTGATTTCATTACAATTGATTGCAATTATTTATAAACTAATATCTTTACTTATTTCTTTACTAATATCTTTAATACATATATGTATTACTTTTAATCTTCAGTTTTCAAATAAATAGAAAGAGTAATTTTAATCACACGTTTTTTATTTAGAAATAAGAAGAAATTTTAAATTATTCTTTATATTCATTCGGTCTTGCTATTTTACAATGTACTCAAAACTCTCTAGACACTACATCGTAATTATATGTATATGTATTTGATGATCTAATTTATTTTTATTCACGCACACACACAAATAAATAAAATAAAAATAAATTAAAAATTTAAACAAAAATATATATATATATAATATTTCATCAGACAAATATTTTACAAATTATTGATAAAATTTTGGTCAGCTTGAGTATAATTTAAAGTGTAAAATACATTATTTGGATTTTGTTGTTTATCCCAACTTTTGATACATTATAAAACATACATAATTAATTCAATTACGTTTGTTTTAATTAGCTTAATAATATAAAATACCTTTTTATAGTGGCAGTTTCTAGACATTTATATACCGTTTGTAAAGTAATCTGATATCCAAATTAAAAAGGGTACATCGACTTTTTCAAAAGTGGATTATAAACTAAGGAAAACACTTACTTTAAACGGGTAGAAAAGAGTGTGGTATGCCTCCTCTAATTCAGGATCGAATCGAACAGGTCTCATTTGATAGACTATGTACACCAACTGTCCAATGTTCAGCACCAAGAAACTGAAGTTCCAGGAGAATATATCTGGTGCACATATGACGTGCCAAGCCCAGCCAGACAACAACATGAATCCTCAAAAAGAAACATTACATCGATACTTAAAACGAGACAATCAATATTTGTAATTTTCCCTGGTATCAGTTTGCATTAAATTTCACGAAATAAATGGTTTTACGATATATACAAAATTTAACACAAAACCTCTTATTTAAAGAAATATCGTATCACTTATAATTTTAAATAATAAAAAAATAAAAAGAAGTCAGCAATTCGTCCTTAAAAAGTTCTGTCAGATTTCAATGTTTACTTTCACTCAAAGTCTTTTCTTTCTTCAAAGTTACTTTGAAAAAATTGTATTTAAAAATGCACAAGATTTTTTTTTAATTCAAGCAATTTTAGAAGTTACCAAGCTTTAAATACATACATAATATTTTACCTATCATTTTGAAACACGTGTATGTGACTAACACAGAATATCAGTAGTCTTATTTTATATTTAACCAACTCACCAATGATAAGGACGGAGTGCATAAACAGTATCCCTTTTCTCGAGGATGGCGCCGAGTACGACAGCATGAAACAAAAGTTCGCCAGTTGGAACAGTATGTGTTGCGGTTGCTGCCACAAGCATAGTGCCGTGTTGCCTAAAGGTAGCAACAGAGATTCATAAAATTAACTCGACTGCAACATTTCAAATAAATTTAACAAAAAAGAAAACTAATGTTTACCTATTGCTGTGATGTTGTACGAGGGGAGGGGATCGTGTCCGAGTCCAGGACTCATGTTGACTCTGTCGATGGCTGGTGCAAAAAGGGAAAGAAAGGAAGATGTCTTGGAAGCTACTTAGTATCCATGCTCACTGGTTTGTTTTGGTCAAATTTGTCTCCATTCTTGTGGAAGGGTGCGGCGTACGCTCTACACGGGGCGCTTGCGCCAGGGTTTAGGATCGATTCTCCATCCGTGTTGATGATGCAGGTTCGCGAAGCAGTTGCATACACGGCGGTAGCTTCGAAACTAACGTCAGACGTATCCCTATGGGTAAATCCTTTGAGTCAGGAATCAGCATCGTCCTGATCACTTCAGCACAGGTAATCGTTACTTATACGATCTTCTTGTACACTTCTTCGTGCTTTAGCTGTGGCATTTTGCAGATGATTGGTACTATGAGGCTTGCAAGTGTTCAGCCACCTTCGTGACAGTTGTTAAGTGTCTGAAAACAGAGTTTACTACGATACCCCAGATGGCAATTCAGGGACGGAAAATATTTTGAGAGGGTCACCAACGTTACCAAAGGGACGAAGGTTTTAAAAATCTTTGGAAGAGACATCGAAGCTGAACCATTATGGACATCAAAATGTGAGATTTATACAGGGTGTTTTGTTATTTGAAGTTGAACGGGTGATTTTTACTTCCGATGACAAGTTGAATACATTATAGTCGTCATAATTTAGTAATATTTTAATCATCTGAAATGTGCTTCTCAGAAGTCATAATATTATTTTGACTAGCTCAAATATTCAAAAAATTATATTTTCAGCAAAGGCAAAGTACGTTTTAAATTGTCAGCAATTAAGAGAACACACAATTTTAATTAATCAATATAATTGCGGTGTTTATACAGAATTATTGATCTGATGTCACAAGGTTTAAACCCTCCTGTCATTTTTTATAATTAAAATTACAATCGTATATTTAAGTATTGCTATTATTATTGCATTTCGATAAATTCAATTCTTCCTATAGAAACCAAGTGCGTCAAATTATAATTAACTCTACTCAACACTACTCAACAAATCACTCCTATACAAATTTAATGCTAAAGTTTTAAAGTTCAATTTTAGTTTAAAATTCACTGCTAAGCATGCACGAGCAGGTATGTCACAATAAAATTTATTATACTACATTCTAATACATCCGTTGGATCTTATTCTAACATTAGATCTTACCTCACCGCGTGTTGGAAGATTCCTAAGACGTTGAGCTCTTCCAAACACGACTGCAACTTCGACCCTAGCTCGAGGCACGTTTCTGAGCATCATCTTCGTTTCAGGTAGCTTTCTTGGTACGTCTAGCCTCCATTGAGCAGTCGAAAGTTCTCCTAAAAAGGCTCTTCTCATTTCCTTCCTGTTACGTCGCTGGTAACGTCTTGCAGTTTGTCGTAGTCTCTTGTCAGAGCTACAAACATTCAGCCACTTGCTTGATACTTGAGCAACACTCAGCAGAGACTCAGGATCCAACTTGCGTAGAATTAACTGCGACACCTCCAATGGCAGTTCAGAGATGAAATCTACCTTGGCGGGTTGCAGCAATCCAATAACGCGAAGAAAGGACTTGAAGAACTCCATGTTGTCACTGTTATCGCAGACACTCGAATAATGCACCTCTGAAAAATTTGGGGTATATATACCCCAGGTCACGGTTGACTGCATGTTCCGGATCGGTGGTTCGGCCACTCACGTTCGAGAAGAAGCAAGGGTCGGTTCTGGACCGATGGTTCCGCCAATCACGTTCGAGAATAAATAAACGTTCACTTTCTGCATGTAACATACCACAAAGAATTGTAATATTGAGTAACTCAGAAAATGAGAAACTTGTAACTAAATTACGAATGTTTATGCATTTATGGGAAATTTTTAATTCTCAAAAAACTACAGAAACTAATTAATATGCAAAAATTTAAGAAATACTAAATCATAGGACTTATTACAGTTAGGGGTTAAGACAACCCTCTACAAAGGGTACATTTCAATTCTATTAATAAAAATATAAATTTGCATAAAAATCCACGGTCTACTTATAACTTATTTTAAGAATTTATGAATAGTAATGAATTTCCATCTCCGGATGGCATCATCTGTAGAATCTAAGAATGATAAAAAATAGGAAGGAAGATGGATCGAAGTTGCATTTGTTGTTCAATTAGTACGTGTGCGATCCCAGTCTAGAAAATATAAAAACTCTTTCTAAAAATTACCTCTGTAGAAAATAATATTCTAAGATAATGACTTCACTTATCGCTTTGTACGTTAAATAACTCAAGTCTTAAATACTTGCATTGATATGTGTTATAGGCAAAGGCAAAGTCTAATCAAGAAAACTATATATTTACGACGACCATGGGAAAACGAAAACGATAAACATATAATATAAAGATATACGTTTTACTTCCATTAACTTTTTCAAATGCAGTATCAAGCACTTACAGACTACCTTCGAAATAAGAAATATTTTGTAAAAGAAGAAAAAGAATTCTTGAAGGATGTAGGTGAAATCTATTTAAATAAAATAAAGTAATATAATATTCACATTTCAATATAGTATTAATGACATCAACATAAGCAATTGATGCAATTTCTTTAAAAAATGAATTGCTTATAAATATTTATATAACCTGTCTTTAACTAGGGTCGAAAATAGTGACTTTAGCTCTCTGAATAACACAAATTTAGTATAAGTATTTTACCGATCAAGTCTCTAAAATAGTATCAATTTCATTCCGAACACGTTTCTTTCAACTAGTTATTCCAATAATGTTCTAAAAAACACATTGAAAAGTATTGAAAATGAGTAGTTATGTGGCGCCGCCTCCCATGTTCGCCACCAGAGGAGTCGCGCTCTCACAAGCGCTCGTCCGACCCCTCAGTTGCTATACATACAGGGTGTCCCCTCTAAAGTGTGACAGTCGCGATACTATTGATGATACGAAAATTTTGTTTATATTATTAGTTTCAAAGATACGATGGTGAAGTTTCGTTTTTTAAATGGCACTATATATTTTTGTTTGGATCATGCGATAGCGTTTTTCAATACGAATTCATTAACCTGCAATTTATTCACCCGATTATTATTAGTTTTCAAGATATAACGCTTGAAAATTGAATGATTTTCGGCGGAGACGTCTCAGTTTGAGTGGCAAGTCATAAAAGCGGTCCTATTGTTGCACTGTTTGACTCCGCCTGTTGAAACCGATAGCAAGGGTCTAGCTCGGAACGGCAGACCAGAAAAGTAAGAAACATGGAAAGTATTATCCATCACGGTCCAAGTTTTCCGCATCGAGGATGGAGTCGTTAATAATTTAGATGGTTAATACTTTCCATGTTACTGACTCTTCGGGCCTGCGGTTCCGAGCGTAGACTCTTGCTATCGGTTTCAACAGGCGGAGTCAAACAGCGTAACAATAGGACCGCTTTTATGACTTGCCACTCAAGCCGAGACGTCTCCGCCGAAAATCAGTAAATTTCCAAGCCTTTATATCTTGAAAACTAATAAAAATAGGGTAAATAAATTGCAGGTTAATGAATTCGTCTTGCAAAACACTATCGTATGATCCAAAAAAAAATGTATACTTCCGTTTAAAAAACGAAACTTCACCATCGCATCTTTGAAATTAATAACATAAATAAAATTTTTGTTTACGCCAAAATAAAGATCCTATTTTATCCTGCAATTTTTATTTAAACAATTTTTTCGTATCATCAATAGTTATTGAAGTATTGCAACTGTCACACTTTAGCGGGGACACCCTGTATACATATACATTCCTCGAACGAGTTCCCAACATCACAGTCGTCTAAGGCAGGGCCTGCTAGAAAGTCTTACTGATAATTCCACTAGCAGGACCGGACGAAACGCGCCGCCTTCTTTCCTTTTCACGCCTCCTACGAGATTCTCACGAGTTCCTAACCACAGCAAAGCAGCGCCACAGTTGTCATAACGACGTCTACTATTTTTACAATATTAATTACAACCGTATGCAACTAGTGCAAAAATATAAATTGTATAAAATTTTCATATAATTTTAATTATTATTTTAAATACTAAAATATAATATTTCTGGCCGCATTGTAACTGGTCTTCCAAATAATTTCATATAGTGAATAATATTGATATGCGGAGTACAGTGAAAACACGATAAATGGCACTACTCCGGGTTCGGTCAGGAATACTTATGGAATAGAAGAATCGTTTCTCGGATTTGATTGTAATTTTGCCGACGCATAGTGGGGCCATTGCATGCCAAACGCGACAAAAAGTGGTTTTATGCAAATATACCCACAATGAAATAATGATTTACTAATAGTTAATGGGACACATGGGCCATGATTTAGTGTGATTTTTTTTATCATTTGTCGATTTTTGATACGACTACATGATTTTGAAACGTTCAATCTTAAAATCATCCAAAATTATAATCATCGTTTATTGATGCTTTGATTCTTCATGATGAGTAATTGAATTAAATGTACTTAGTACGTATTTAAATTACGAATGAAGAATCAGATGAAGAATCATTCATAGATTCATAAATTCTTTCGTTTTCTCTTCGTAAAGGTCGTGTCGTCTATTCGTCTAATTGCCATCTTCTCTTGAAACGGGACTTCAAAGTTGCAATTTTTGTTTTCAAAATTTTCTGGTACTTCACAGAATAATTATCCTGGCTCATTAAGGACGACTCTAAAAATTCTAGTTTATTTTCAAAATCATGATTTTGATGCTGTGTCATGATGTTATAAAACTGCATCATTAAAATACACATACTCCTGATGAACCTTCGGATTAAAAAAAAAATGTCACTCTATTAAAACGAAGATTTTGCTACGAAAACTGTATTAACAAACTATATAGAAGATGAAGAAAAATGGCGGAATTCAAATATATATATCTGTACCTACCTACTTCAATTGGAAATTCCATTATTTTAACACTAAATATTTCAATCACAACATACAAGTTAGGAACGTCAAACGACAAATGCTCCAAATTCGTGATTATTTTATGCTTGTATAGCATTCGAAGCAAAAACAATGAAATGTATGCATTGTTTCCTAGTTTTTATGTATTTTTGAGAATCGTAAGAATACTCGCAATCGCCGACGCTCGCACGTGCCGAAACAGTTGATCATCTTTATATTTTTCGCAGTAGCAGCTAGTAGCAACTAATTTTTTTTTTTAAAAAAAGGTAAGGCTTCACTCTACAAAAAGCAATTAAAATGAACACTGAATCACACTGCATTCATAATTAAAAAATATAATGAAGACTAAACATGTTCAATTAGTTATAACTCAAAAAATGTTGGAGATATAACAGTGTACTTTGGTGTAATTTAAATACGTACTAAGTACATTTAATTCAATTACTCATCATTTACTTTGAAGAATCAAAGCAACAATAAACGATGATTATAATTTTGGATGATTTTAAGATTGAGAGTTTCAAAATCATGTTGTTAAGGATTCAAAAGAAACCTTAACATCGCGAGGTTTATGATACGGGCGTGACTTCTCCGCTATTTTTGAGGATTAGGCCTTCGAGACATTTTTACTTGCTAAATTACGTTACGGCCATTAAGGAAACTCCAAACTCCACACGGGACATGGAATCCTTGGAGCTTCCTTGCCTCAATAGCGATTGACGTATCGTAAACCCGCGCTGGCACACAGCTGCGGACCACCGGGGTCTCGCGGTCATTGGGTATTCCCAAAGTTAATAATAATGCAGCGTTCTCGCTCACTCCTGCATGGTCTACCTGGGCACTGGACAGCAGGGTGGGCGGGAATGTTGCAAAATGCAGGAAACGCCCTGCCAAGGTGACAACTTTGAGGATTGGCTTGACCAATCCTCCCACCGGTTCGCGCTGCGCGTTTTCGTCACCTTGGCAGGGGAAACCGAGCTTAGGTTAAGGGTAGTTTTACGTCCTAGGATTAGATTCGTTTTTCGATCGAGCCGTACAACCTCGAGCAGAGTCTCCGCGAGAATACAAAAATTCACGCGTCATCCAAAGAGCAACGGGCTCTCAGTCAGAAGCAACGGGCTTTTACCATCATCGGTTCCCAAAGTAGTTTGGGTGGTCCTTCGAGCCTACGGCGGAAAGGGAACACAGTACGGAGCTGTGTAATACGCACGGTCCGCGCACTACAGAGCACGAGGGCATAGCAGCTTCGCGGCCGAAACATTGGTCCTTCGAGCCGGATCCTTGTGAACCAGATCCTGTGAACGGCAGGTGGTGAATTTGGTTGGTAAAGTGCAGCTGAGATCAGATCATAGGGATCTCCATCCAGCAGCCAAACAACATTTCCAATAATTTGGAGCGATCAAGAAAACGGAGCCATCAGTGGACGCTGATATTGTCGTTGGGAAAGCGACACCTACAGCATCCAGGCATCGAGACGTGTCATCGGGACAACGTCACTAAGGAGCTGACCAACAGCGTGGACAGGCCACGTTGGTGCAGCAGCCGAAACGAGAGGACAAACGTGGTCATCGGGACTGGACGGGTCATCGTACATCGGCAGACAGACTTTAGATCTGTCAATTGGGAGCAACATCCGTGGGCATCGGAGCTGAACAGACACCAGGGCGGACATCGGGGCGATCAGCGTCAGAGCATCGCCGAATCAACGTACTGTAAGTCCTTTCCTTTACACATTCGACTTGCGTAGGACTGGCGGTTTAAAATGTCGACCGAAATAAGAACGTTAGTGAACGAACTGCGCATTGTGAAGGCGTCGCTCACGCGCTTAAAAAACTTCTTTGCCGAGTCAGGTACCAAGGCGTCGGTAGGGGCTCTAAAAAAACGGTTAGAGGCGAATGCGGGGCTTTACGAGAATTTCAATAATATTCAGACTAAAATCGAGCTTATCGTGATGGGTACTGATCAAGAAGCCGCGCATGAAACGGTACGGGAGCAATTCGAGTCGGTCTATTTTAATCTAATGGCGGACATAGAGGAGCATCTCGCCGCCTCGCAACCGCCTCAACACCGGGAAGCATCGGCGAGCCCCCAAACAACACAGGGGTCTTCGCAACCGGCCATAAAACTGCCGGTTATTCAGTTACCGTCGTTTGACGGCAACTACAATGGGTGGTTAAAATTCCGGGATACGTTTTTGTCATTGATACATAACAACGAGTCATTATCCGACATCCAAAAGTTCCACTATTTGGATTCCTCGTTAGAGGGCTGTGCGGCACGTATCATCCAATCGTTAGGCATCTCAGACGCCAATTATAAAATAGCGTGGGAAACGTTGAACGCACGGTTTCAAGATTCAACGGCACTATTGCGTCATCACGTGCACGCACTTTTAGACATCACTCCTGTAAGGAAGCACGCTGCAAGCGGGTTAAGGGAATTCTTGGATGACGCGAAAAATCATTTATTCGCGCTAAAATCACTCGGTGAGCCAGTTGATAAGTGGAACACACTGATTGTTCCGATGCTAGCCAGGAAGTTAGACATAGTCTCGGTTAGGGAATGGGAGAAAAGAATTACGACACCGGAGTCGATCAATTTTAGACATTTCGCGGAGTTCTTAGAGGAAAGGGCGCGATACCTCGACAATGTCAGTATTGCTGCACCGGCAGCAGCAGAAAGGGTCGAACGGCGGCCGCCCGGAGCAGGTAGCCGGTGGCCAAATAAGGTAACGGCGCACGTTGCCAATACGTACGCGCGCTGCCCGGCATGCACAGGTAACCATGCGCTACATAAGTGTTCCAAATTTCGGGAATTAACCCTGGCAGAGAAACGGGAATTAGTTCGGACCGCGCGACGATGTTACAATTGTTTAGAAGCAACCCATCAGGTACAGGACTGCACGCGGCAAAACTGTAACCGGTGTGATAAAAGGCACCACACGCTATTGCATCGCGAAGACCCAAACCCGGTTCACACTGCAAACATCGGGATCACAGAATCACCTAGTCGGCCATCAACCACTTGCGTTTCAAATATCGCGAGCGATCAGAGAGACTACACCCTATTAACAACAGCGGTCGTATACGTAAGGGATAGTCGCGGGCAGAAACATGAATGTCGGGCGTTATTAGATTCCGGGTCGCAGGCAAACTTCGTTACTCGCGACTTTTGCAAAAAATTAGGTGTAATTCCGACTCCAGTCCAAGCGACGGTCGCAGGGCTGGGCCAAATTCCAAATTCGGTTAAGGGAAGGGTCGCGGTCAAAATCTTCTCCCGATGCAATAGTTTCCGTACGGAGTTATCGTGCCTGGCTATAGAGACCATAACAGAAGACATGCCTAACGTTCCCATCAATAGGAAAAATATTCAAATACCGTCAAACATAGCTATGGCGGACCCGTATTTTGATACTTCCAAAAGGGTTGACCTGCTAATCGGGGCAGGTTTGTTTTGGAGGCTATTGTGTATCGGTCAACACAAAACCTCCGCTCAGCTAGTATGGCAGAAAACCCAGCTCGGGTGGGTACTCGGGGGAAACCTGACCTGGCCGACGGTGAGTGAGTCAGGCGTAGTTCGATGCAATCTCGTCACGAATAACGAGCTCGCGAGTAAGATAGAAGAATTTTGGAAGGTCGAAAGCCTTGAAACGCGGAAACCGGACATAGACAATTGCGAAAGTCACTTTGCGGCTACCACACGTAGAGATAAACACGGACGGTACATTGTACGGATACCATTCAAGGACACGGTTAGCAGATTAGGGAATTCCCGGGAACAAGCCGAACGGCGGCTATATTCGTTAGAAAAAAGGTTAAGCAAACAGCCGAGTTTACGTGCAGAATACGTTCAGTTCATGGAAGAGTATGAAAAATTCGGACACATGTCGCGCGTGCCTATATCCGAAATTTGCGGCGAAATGTCATATTACCTGCCGCACCACGCGGTCATAAAGGAGACAAGCACAACCACCAAGGTTAGGGTCGTGTTCGATGGGTCGGCGAAAACTTCCTCGGGCCTTTCATTAAATGATACGCAGTACGTAGGACCCACCGTCCAAAATGAATTATTTTCGATTTTAGTGAGGTTCCGACAACACCGGTACATTCTTTCCGCGGATATTGAGAAAATGTACCGTCAAATTTTGATTGATTCAAAGGATAGGCGGTTGCAAAAGATTCTATGGCGTTCCAGTCCAACCTCTCCAGTAACAACTTTCGAGTTAAACACTGTCACTTACGGGACAGCATCTGCACCATTTCTGGCAACGCGAGTCTTACGGCAAGTTGGACTTGACTGCGCCCAAACATATCCAATTATCAGTAAAATACTTATTAATGATTTTTATGTGGACGATTTGTTGACTGGAACGCAAACAATCACCGAGGCGATAAGGGTTAGAAAAGAACTTTCCGCGATTTTAGCTCAGGCGGGTTTTCAATTGCGGAAATGGGCAACAAACTGCCCGTCCATTTTACGGTCAGAAGCAGATACACCGACCGATAAGGAGTTTCATACGGACAAGGATCCAAAGACACTCGGTCTGTTATGGTCTCCTGCAGACGATAGGCTTAGATTCTCTGTTACGGAACGTATGCATAAACGGGTTACAAAAAGGACGATCTTGTCAGAAATTGCTCAAATCTTTGATCCGTTGGGTTTAATCGGGCCAGTAATCGTACGGGCAAAAATTATAATGCAAAAATTATGGCAAGGGCAAACGGGATGGGACGAAGCAGTCTCCCAAGAATTGCATACGCAATGGGCAGAATACCGCAATGAATTAAGACAGGTAACTACCCTACAAATTCCGCGATGCGTAGTAGGAAAACGGTCTGTTCGCGTCGAACTACACGGGTTTGCGGACGCCTCGGAAAAGGCTTACGGTGCCTGCGTTTACCTGCGGTCCCAGGGTACGTCAGATAGATGGGAATCAAGGTTAGTGTGCGCAAAGTCCAGGGTCGCGCCTTTAAAATCCATATCTTTGCCGCGACTAGAGCTTTGCGGGACACTGTTGTTATCGCAATTAATGAACAAGGTCAGGTTGTCACTCACGTTACGGATTAACGAAGTGGTTTATTGGTCAGACTCTACGATCGCCTTGGCTTGGATACAAGGTCCATCAAGTCGATGGAAAACGTTCGTAGCCAATAGGGTTACAGAAATTAATGATTTAACAAGCGGACATCAATGGCACCACGTTAGATCGCAGGACAACCCTGCAGATCTGATTTCTCGCGGAACGACTCCCACATTATTGGCAGCCACTGATCTTTGGTGGTCAGGTCCATCTTGGTTGACAATGAATCAGAAACATTGGCCCCAGTCGGTGATCGAAAAAATTGTCAATGTTTCGGCCGCGAAGCTGCTATGCCCTCGTGCTCTGTAGTGCGCGGACCGTGCGTATTACACAGCTCCGTACTGTGTTCCCTTTCCGCCGTAGGCTCGAAGGACCACCCAAACTACTTTGGGAACCGATGATGGTAAAAGCCCGTTGCTTCTGACTGAGAGCCCGTTGCTCTTTGGATGACGCGTGAATTTTTGTATTCTCGCGGAGACTCTGCTCGAGGTTGTACGGCTCGATCGAAAAACGAATCTAATCCTAGGACGTAAAACTACCCTTAACCTAAGCTCGGTTTCCCCTGCCAAGGTGACGAAAACGCGCAGCGCGAACCGGTGGGAGGATTGGTCAAGCCAATCCTCAAAGTTGTCACCTTGGCAGGGCGTTTCCTGCATTTTGCAACATTCCCGCCCACCCTGCTGTCCAGTGCCCAGGTAGACCATGCAGGAGTGAGCGAGAACGCTGCATTATTATTAACTTTGGGAATACCCAATGACCGCGAGACCCCGGTGGTCCGCAGCTGTGTGCCAGCGCGGGTTTACGATACGTCAATCGCTATTGAGGCAAGGAAGCTCCAAGGATTCCATGTCCCGTGTGGAGTTTGGAGTTTCCTTAATGGCCGTAACGTAATTTAGCAAGTAAAAATGTCTCGAAGGCCTAATCCTCAAAAATAGCGGAGAAGTCACGCCCGTATCATAAACCTCGCGATGTTAAGGTTTCTTTTGAATCCTTAACATTCCGCCCACCTTGAACATTCCGCGTTCAACATCCCTGTTACTGGGAACCCTTGCCGATTGCGCGAGCGTAGACCTTAATTCAAATCCTTATGTACAATATATTATCATTACATGCTACGTGATACATAAACTATTACTATCATACTATATACATTAGTGTGTATGGCTTGTACGTCTGCCCGATGTCCTGTGAAGTTCGGTCTCCTCTATGGGTAGGACGCAAAGTTTGATAACCGGTCTCTTAAATATTCCCTGGGCAGTTTTGACCGATGCAACTCGTGTCCCGCCATCCGTTCCGTGGTGGAGTTGGATAATCCTACCCAGACTCCAACTAAGGGGTGGTAGATGGTCTTCCTTGATGAGGACCATAGTGCCAGGCGTCAGTTTGGTCGCCGGAGGCGAATGCCACTTGGTGCGCTGCTGCAATTGATGCAGGGGTTCCCAGTAACAGGGATGTTGAACGCGGAATGTTCAAGGTGGGCGGAATGTTAAGGATTCAAAAGAAACCTTAACATCGCGAGGTTTATGATACGGGCGTGACTTCTCCGCTATTTTTGAGGATTAGGCCTTCGAGACATTTTTACTTGCTAAATTACGTTACGGCCATTAAGGAAACTCCAAACTCCACACGGGACATGGAATCCTTGGAGCTTCCTTGCCTCAATAGCGATTGACGTATCGTAAACCCGCGCTGGCACACAGCTGCGGACCACCGGGGTCTCGCGGTCATTGGGTATTCCCAAAGTTAATAATAATGCAGCGTTCTCGCTCACTCCTGCATGGTCTACCTGGGCACTGGACAGCAGGGTGGGCGGGAATGTTGCAAAATGCAGGAAACGCCCTGCCAAGGTGACAACTTTGAGGATTGGCTTGACCAATCCTCCCACCGGTTCGCGCTGCGCGTTTTCGTCACCTTGGCAGGGGAAACCGAGCTTAGGTTAAGGGTAGTTTTACGTCCTAGGATTAGATTCGTTTTTCGATCGAGCCGTACAACCTCGAGCAGAGTCTCCGCGAGAATACAAAAATTCACGCGTCATCCAAAGAGCAACGGGCTCTCAGTCAGAAGCAACGGGCTTTTACCATCATCGGTTCCCAAAGTAGTTTGGGTGGTCCTTCGAGCCTACGGCGGAAAGGGAACACAGTACGGAGCTGTGTAATACGCACGGTCCGCGCACTACAGAGCACGAGGGCATAGCAGCTTCGCGGCCGAAACAATGTAGTCGTATCAAAAATCGACAAATGATAAAAAAAATCAGACTAAATCATGCCCCATGTGTACCATTAACTATTACTGAATCATTATTTCATTGTGGGTATATTTGTATAAAACCACTTTTTGCCGCGTTTGGCATGCAATGGCCCCACTGTGCGACGCCTCGAACATAGAAAAAGTCTGTAGCTAAAGAAGAAAGAGGAACTGAGAACCAGATTTATCGTCCCAGTTTAAATACCCGTTGCACATTACATTTCTGAAAATATTTCAGTTTGCACAAAATCTGAAATTGTCCAAAACGTGTTCAATCAATCGAGTGAAATGTCTCAGTGGAGTTAGGGAAAGGTATTTAATAGCACCTCCAAAACATGTACGTACTGATATCTTCGCAAGGTCAGTGGATAGAGTACATTTATCGAACAGTGGTAGCTAACGAAACCTCCTATCTCATAAGTGTTGCAGTTTCTGATCACTTATGGAACAGCGGAAGCGTTCCGTTTGAAAATAGCTACCTCTTATTCGAAAAATGTACCCAGCACCTCGATCCGTCGTTCTTTGATGTTTCCGAAGATAGAAAAGGACATCACATGAAGGATAAACAAAGAGAGAAAGTCTCTCAAGTACAATATTTAATTCAATATTATGCTAACAAATATTGACCGATTTATATCGTGTTTAGTCTCATTTCAATTAGAAAATCTCCCCCACATGATAGTAAAAATTTGATTAAAAAAAAGTAAAAAATAATAAACTTTCTTCTTGTACAGTAGTGTGGTCACACTGACAGAGACATTTGAACGAAGATGACGAAGGCAATAAATATTTTTAAAGATAGCCGCTACGACTCCGGTTACACTTCGCCTCACTGGTTCAAGGGGAATCCCCCTAATAGTGGGGATAAAAATGTATCATTTACGGAACAACTCTTAAGGACATTTATCGAGTTTTCACTTTACTACCCAATCAGTCTCAAACAAGTTACTTTTATTATTGAAATTATTAGTATATTACATTACCTACATTTGGAATAATATACATCACATAGATAAAATTAATATCCTAACAATTACAAATAATAATGATTAGTAAACAATAACAATGTAGAGCCTTGGAATGCAAAAGTAAAAATAATTTCAAATTATATTTATTATATTTATATACATACCCCATTCTCAGTAAAATTCTTACTACATCAGATTTATCAATTACAAAATATGCACACCCAATGTACATTAAATATTATCGAAAATGAAGGAGTGTTATAACGAAGAATGATACAACTGTCAAAATAAGTTTAATAATATTCTAACTAACATACCTTACTACTAGAATCTGATTACATTGCTATACTTACATCATATTAATATTAACTATGAAACATGCATTAGCAAATATGTCACAAAGAAATTTATTAATTACATCCTCATATACCTAGCATTCCGTAGAGCTAATGGGCTAGATATCTGATCCTGTCTAATAAAATTCACTCGGCGGTCAGTTCTTCCAAATACAATGGCGGCCTCGAACTTACATGGCGCATCCCTGAGAATCCTTTTCCTCTGCAGCTGCTTCTTTCGAACATCCATTTTTGGCAGTTCCGGGAAACCCTGATCTACAAAGGCTTTCATCATTCTTCTCTTGTTCCGCCGCTTATGACGTCTGGCTGACTGCCGTAAACTCTTGTCAGAGCTGCAAACGTTCAACCAGTTACGTGACACTTGCGCAACACACAACAAAGATTCAGGATCCAACTTGCGTAGAATTAACTGCGACACCTCCAATGGCAGTTCAGAGATGAAATCTACCTTGGCGGGTTGCAGCAATCCAATAACTCGAAGAAAGGACTTGAAGAACTCCATGTTGTCACTGTTATCGCAGAGACTCGAATAATGCACCTCTGAAAAATTTGGGGTATATATACCCCAGGTCACGGTTGACTGCATGTTCCGGATCGGTGGTTCGGCCAATCACGTTCGAGAAGAAGCAAGGGTCGGTTCTGGACCGATGGTTCCGCCAATCACGTTCGAGAATAAATAAACGTTCACTTTCTGCATGTAACATACCACAAAGAATTGTAATATTGAGTAACTCAGAAAATGAGAAACTTGTAACTAAATTACGAATGTTTATGCATTTATGGGAAATTTTTAATTCTCAAAAAACTACAGAAACTAATTAATATGCAAAAATTTAAGAAATACTAAATCATAGGACTTATTATAGTTAGGGGTTAAGACAACCCTCTACAAAGGGTACATTTCAATTCTATTAATAAAAATATAAATTTGCATAAAAATCCACGGTCTACTTATAACTTATTTTAAGAATTTATGAATAGTAATGAATTTCCATCTCCGGATGGCATCATCTGTAGAATCTAAGAATGATAAAAAATAGGAAGGAAGATGGATCGAAGTTGCATTTGTTGTTCAATTAGTTCGTGTGCGATCCCAGTCTAGAAAATATAAAAACTCTTTCTAAAAATTACCTCTGTAGAAAATAATATTCTAAGATAATGACTTCACTTATCGCTTTGTACGTTAAATAACTCAAGTCTTAAATACTTGCATTGATATGTGTTATAGGCAAAGGCAAAGTCTAATCAAGAAAACTATATATTTACGACGACCATGGGAAAACGAAAACGATAAACATATAATATAAAGATATACGTTTTACTTCCATTAACTTTTTCAAATGCAGTATCAAGCACTTACAGACTACCTTCGAAATAAGAAATATTTTGTAAAAGAAGAAAAAGAATTCTTGAAGGATGTAGGTGAAATCTATTTAAATAAAATAAAGTAATATAATATTCACATTTCAATATAGTATTAATGACATCAACATAAGCAATTGATGCAATTTCTTTAAAAAATGAATTGCTTATAAATATTTACAGTGCGTAACAAAAAGTTGTACGCACCCACTTTTTTTCGATTATCTAAGGAACGAGTTGTGATCCATGGATGAAACTTTTATACAATAAAGAGCATCTAAAAACACACATTCTTATTATTTGTATCATCCAAATTGGAGCACACGTTCCCGAGTTGTGCAGTCGGAACAGTTTTCGGCTGGAACGAAAAGTTGTACGC